TCTCCCCCCGTCAACTGATCTGAAATGCCATCTTTACCAGATACTATATTGCCATGTCACAATAGCACAAAATTGGAAACAAGCCAAATGTCCATCAGCTGGTAAACGAATAAATAAAATGAAATACATCCATCTAATGGAATATTAATCAGTAATAAAAAGGAAAGAACTAATGACATGTGCTATGATATAGCCAGGCCTCAAAAACATTATGCTAAGGGAAGGAATCCAGTCTCAGAAGAGATCACATATTGTATGATTCCATTTATATGAAATGTCTAGAACAGACACATTAATAGAGACAGCAAGTAGATTAGTAGTCTCCTGAGTCAGGGATTAACAGAGAATTGATATAAGGAATCTTCCTGGAATGTTGAAAATGTTCTAAAACTGATTTATAGTGATGTTTGCACAACTTCATACATTTACTAAAAAATAATTCCATTGTACACTTTCAGGGTGAATTCTACAATATGTAAAACATGTCTCAATACGGTTATATTTTTAAAATCAGAGAATGGAGATAGAGGAAAATGTGTAAAGTTTGTGACTTATTTTGCATAAATCGTCAAAAGTTAAAATAATTATATATATAAAACAACAAAAAAACCTATCTGTGCAATACTAGGCTTCCTAGTATTTTACCATTCCTGTAGTCTTAAATCCTCACCAGGTTACAGTACATCGTTATTTTTAATACAAAGCTGTATTTGTTTTACTATTCTTTACAATATATTTATGTGCTTAACTGAGACTGGTATCAAGATATTTTTACTATTGTCTTTGTCAGATTTGATATTAGTGTGATACTAGCCTCACATAGTAAATTAGGATGCCTTCCATATTTTTTCTATGCCACAGTATAGTTTCTACAGTATATGAATTGTTAACCTTTGTAGAGGACAATTTGTTAATTTTATATCAAAATATTTAATGTGCATAAGCCTAGCAATTCCACTTCTGGTAAAAGTATTAACAGTGATTGTTAATGGAAGTGCTGATGACCTTTAATTCTTGTGCTCACTGAAAACTTTTGTTGCAATGATAACACAAATTTGTAATGACTATTTGTGGCTCCAACAAATAAGAGGGCTGATGTAGTACTTAATATTTTGTTACTTGACCTATAAAAATATTTAGGCCTATACCTTTCTACACAGAAAGTTCTTTGACCACCTTTCAATCTCTTCTAAATATTTTTATACTCACTCTAAGATGTTTATGCCTTCCACTTAATTTGTACCTCTACATCATTGACATATATGACATTTTCTTATGCTTTCTATCGTCTTCTATATCTGTTATTAAATCCTCTTTCTTGTTCTTTTTGCTTTATATTTGTGCTTTCTCATTTTTTCCTTAATCAGAATAGCACAATATTTATTTTTCATTTCAGAATGACACACCTGGGTTTTATTTATTAACACTGCTTCTTTGGGTTTTTTTCACTTTCTAATTCAGTAATTTCTTCTTTCGGTTTTACTGATGCTTTGCTCTTTTTTTTTTTCTTCTTTTGGTTTGCTTTACTTTTCTATTTTTAGGCTCTTAACTTCAATACTTTTTTTTCTATTGCTGTATTTTTTTGCTATTAACAACTTAGAAATTTTCATCTAAATATAGCTTTGGTTATACTCCATTGTGTTCTCAACGTCTATAATTTCAGTGTCCATTTCTGATTTTTTTTAACTCAAGAGATCTCTGAAAGAGTTCAATTTTTAAGTGTTTAGGGTTTTGGTATTGTTGTTGTTACTTCTTAATCGCTCATTGATTATTTCATGGTCAGTAAATGTGGTGCATGCAATTTTTACCGGTTGGAATTAACTTTTCCTTTGTATTGTCATGTCTAAAAAATTAATCACGTGCTGATTAATTGTTTAAGTGTTTTGTCAATATGATTTTTCTTTATTATTTTAACTATATAACTTCTATCCTCTGTGTATTTATTTTGTCTATTTGATGCATTCCATTACTAGTGAAGTATTGTAGTCTCCAACATAATTCTCATTTTTCTAATTTGTAAAGTTATAACAAACTTGGTTTTATATATTTACAGATTGCTTCATTAATGAAAAGTAAAAGTTTATGACTTCTAAGTCTTTATAGTTTATTGCACTATTTATGAACCTAAGTCTCACTTAATGACGTATACTGTATTCAGTATGTTTTTATAGGAATGTTAATTTAATTAGCATGAGATTTTGGAAAAAGAGAAGATTAAAAGCAGTATAAATCAGTAGACAAATATTTTACTATATTTAATTAAACTATTTCCTAAACATTTAAGGAATCAGGTACTACAAAGCTAACTCCGATCCTCTTCTGACAATCCCCCATGTTCTAATTGCATCATTAAGGCCACTATTTACTACTCACTTTTCTCCAGGAGTTTCCCTGGGTCAAATCTGATGATTGTCTCTAGCACTATGGGACACCACTGCAAACCCTAAGACATCACATTTTACTATAAAGGCACATGAAGTAGACCTCCTGTTTTGTTAATCTGCCCAATTTAACTTCCCGGTTCCCACATACTGAGGCACTGGGAAGGCAGATGTGATTGAATTACTGAAGCATAAGATAATACAAAAATTAAAAGATAAAAAAAGAAGACAATGTAATGGAAAAGAGCTGCAGTTTTAATCTTTATCAGCGTGCAGAGTGGATCCTCTCTAACTGAACTTGTGGGGATTAGATTCTCCTCAAGAGAAGCCAACAGTAATCCACACATAAATGGCCTCTAAAGCAGTGTGGAGTTAGAATCAATGAATTTTCCTACCAAAGGCATCTGGAAGAAAAAAAAGAAACACTTTGGGGGATTTTCTAGTTCTCTTTGTAGATTCCCTCTGAAATAGATTCCATAAAACGATTAATCTGAGTTCCCTAAAAATTAAAGTAATACACACAAAGTACTTTAAAAGCCCCAGAAGAAGGATGACCTATAAATTCGCGATATTACAGTTATATTAAATCTAAAGTAGCAGTCACGGTGGAACAGATTAAAGAAGAGCAAGCAGCACTGTTTTCTCACTCCCTCTGAAATGATTTGGGAAGCCTTCAGAGCTAGCTCAGCTATGCTAGCAATTGACATTCATATTATTTGAAAAAATAAGAATGGAAATATGTTTAACTTGGGATCCTATGACTCCCAAGTTAAAAGTGATAAAAGTGATTCTAATGTGGCCTCCTCATTCTTGTCCAGTTTCTTTCTCTGTTTCGCAGATTTTTCTGACAAGAAGTGAGCATATTGGCTAGGATGATTTATAGCCTACAGGAATCAAGCAACCATGTTATTCTCTAACCTCATGGCCTAGTTAGAGTTTTCACAAGGTTTATGTACTGCATGGTTATCCTAAAATAAGGACAAATGATAATCATATTACTTGCCTAGAGATAAAGAAGACCATGATTTTACTTAGGGCTAGGACACTACAGTTACATCCTAGAGCTAAATTTTCTACATAATTTATTAGTAATTGTGCCAAGAGTAGCTGTACTTACTAATAATTTGAGAAAATTCACTGTGGTTAAAAAAAAAAAAGAATCCATCATAGATAGAAAACACATTTTCAAGTTTGGGTTTCTTTGCCTAATATTTTATAAAAGTTTTACATAGACAGTTTGAGCATTTATTTTGACAAAGGGGCTGTAAAAAGTAATTGTAAACCATGAAGGCTGTAAGTGCATGTCATTTGCAACCCTAGCTGTGTAGAGGTATTTTAGATGTCACCCCTGAAGGCTGATTTGGTCAATCTTGGGACAGGGTAGTTGTGTCTTCAAAAGTTCCTTAACTGATTTTGATGCATAGCTGGAACCGGGAACCACTTTACAAAAATCTACGAGTTGCAAGGGGCCTTGACATTCAATTATTTTTCACCCTCCTTATTTCCAGTAACTTCTTCCCAGTTTTCCACCAGTCAACTGCCCTGGACATCTGCATGAGATGTCATATACATCCCAAACTTAATGTGTTTAAAATTAATCTCATGATTTTCCCACAAAATATGCTTGACTTCCTGTGGTAAACCTAATAAGTTATAGGGACATCTTTCCAGGCACATACGCAAAAAAATTGGGAATCAGGATCTCTCTATTTCATATCATTACGAATTATTTTATCTCTTAAATGTCTCTTAAGGCATCTCTACTGGCTTAAAATATTCCTTCAACACTTCTACTTAAGTAAAAATTAATAGTTTACTGCCTGTTGCTGTTTTCTTTAAAAACACCCAGATTTAAATCTCACATTGTCTGACCACACCACTACACCACAACCACCCATCCTGTTGCAGACATCTATCATTCCTCAGATCGCTTCCCCCACATTCCTGGAAGAGCCCAATTGCTGGCTTACTGTCACTTTCCAAAACTACTTTCGTCAAAATCCTCAGCAAACCCAATATCCATGTCGATAGCACTTCCAAAACCCTGGGCCTGTAGTTCTTTGAGCTCCTATCTTCAATCATTTGTCCCCCTCTCCCCATCGTGCCTCTCGTGATCATGTTCTGGACCTGGTCATGCCAACAATTGCAACTCCTCCAGAATGCTGATTTCAAATATCTCACTCTCCGACCCCCTTCTCCTCACTGCATTTTCAACAAGCATTCCACCCCTCCAGGACCTACAACCCACTAATCCTACCACGTCTTCACTACCCCTAATCCTTTTACATATCCGCTTTTCTCTCCTTGGTCTGATGAAAGTTCAGAATCAATCATTCCAATCTATTCTATATACCCTCAACTGTTTGCCACTCTTTCCTCGTTCTACATACACACAACCCTGGCTTAAACACAAACTTCCCTCTCTTCCATGACTGCACAAAAAGAGTTGAACATGGAAGAAAAACACGCACCTATGCTGATGGAAATCACTTTAAATTCATGATCGCCAACTTCAAGCAGTCCTTGGTATTGCCTGGCAATCACACTTCCTTCCCTAATCAATTTGCTCTTCCACTCTCCTAGACATTTATAACTCTCTTATTTTCAAGTTGCCATTACTTCCTAACCATCCCCACTCAGACTATAAATTTGCTGCTTCCTATTTCACCAAGAATAGAAGAGCAATCAGAAGGCAAACTTCTGCAAGATTCCCAAACCACATCTGCCCACCTGTGCCCACATACTCTGCCCTGACTTCTTGACAATGAATAAAGTGTTGTTGAAAAACCCACCTACTCAGCCTACTGAGCACATCACTCCAGCAGTTCAATCCTCTACATCATTTTTCCCTCTCTCCAGAATACACAGTTATTTTGTCTTTCCTTTAAAAGCCTTCTTTTGAATCAGTTTCTCCTCCCTTTCCCTTCACAAAATAATTCAAAAAAATTGCTTACTTTTCCCTCAATTTCTCTCCTCTCATTCTCTTTTTAAAAGACTCTAGTTAGACTTTCACCAATTCCACTCAGGCACCACTCCTCCAAAACCACTCGGTTCAAGGTCACCAATTAGCCTCCATGTTATTAAATGCAATGGTCAGTTCTTGGTTGTCATCTTACTTGACCTATCAGCTGTGTTTAACTCAGGGGATCCTTCTTTCCACCTAGGAATACTTTCTTAATTTCCAAGCCAGCATGGTCTTGATTTTTCTCCCACATTACTTTCTGGTCCTTCTCAGTCTCCTTATTTGTTCCTGCACATTTCTCTAACTTCTAACCAGTTGTTTGACTTCTTTTCTATTTTTTATTCACCCCTTGGTAAGTGTGAAGGTCTGAATGTTTGTGTCCTCCCCAAATTCATATATTGAAACCTAATCCCTAGTATGAAAAATGCTAACAGCTAGGGCTTTTGGGGAAGTGACTAGACTATGAGGGCAGAGCCCCCATGAATGGGATTAATGCCCTTATGAAAGAAACCCCTTCCACCATGTGAGGACACAGAGAGAAGGTGCTCTCTATGAGGAACAGGCCCTCACCTGACACGCATCTGAAAGCTCCTTGCTCTTGGACTTTCCAGCCTGCAGAACTGTGAGAAATAAATGTTTGTTGTTCATAAGCTACCCAGCTTATAGTAATTTTGCTAGGGCAGTGCAAATGGATTAAGACAGTAAGCTCATCTAGTGTTTTGGCTTTAAATATCATCTATGTGCCTGTGGTGCCTAAATGCCTACACTGAACTCTTGGGAAATGTACCCAACTTCTCAACCAAGTATATCATTCTAGCAATCCTCCCCTCTTTATCCTATATCATGAATTTTTGTTCTGTACTAGTCATTCCCATCACCTTGGTGCTGTTAAGTCTTGTAACTTATGAATAAATAAATAAATAAATAAATACAACTCTTGATCTCACTTCCCTCACCGGCAACTACTATGCCATTTATTTGTTCTTGTCAGCAGAAAAACTTAAATGAATATTCTGTCTTCACTGCCCCAATTCCTCTCCCTTCAATCTCTCTTAGAGCCACGCCAATCAGGCTCTTGTTGCCACCTCTCTATCAAAAATGCTTGTCAACATCACTTCCAATGACCCCTGCATCACTACCTGCAATGGTGAGTACCCAGTCTTCATTCTGCTTGACCTAACAGTAGCACTGGACACAGCTGCTTATTCCTTCTTATTTGATTACCTTCTTGTTCATCTTGGCTTCCAGGTCAACACTATTGCTTGGATTTTCTCTTTCATTTCTGGTGTCTCTTCATTAATCTTCCTTTGTGGTTCCTCAAGTTCTCTCTAGCCTCTTACTGTTGGACAGTTCTAGAACTTAGTCCGGGTCCTCTTCACTCTCCTGTTTACTTTGCCTTCCTAGATAATTTCAGACAGACTCATTTTAAATATCACATACATGCTGACAACTCCCATGTTTATATCCTCAGCCTAGCCATCTTTCCCAAACTCCAGGCTCATATATCCAACTGTCTAGTCTGTATCCCCACTGGACTCACTAATAAGCATTTGCAACATCCCACATCAAAAACTGAGCTGCTGGTCATTCCCCTCAAGCTTACTTCTCCTGCAACTCTATTGTCCTAGCTGCTCAGGCCACAGTCTTAGTCTTGATTCGTCTCTTTCACACTCAATATCCATCCATTAGTAAATGTTGTCTTCTCTACCTTCCAGCTGCCCAGAATCTGACCACCTCCTACTATCTCCACTGCTATCGCTCTGGTCCAAGCCACCACCATCTTTCACCTACATGATTACAACAGCTTTATAATTCCTCTCCCTAACTTCAACCTTACCCTCCTATAGTCTGTTTTCTATGTGCTGGTCAGAGTGATCCCTTCTCTTCCTAAGTCAGATGTTATCTCTCTTCTGATAAAACTTGCTAATGTCTTCCTATCTTACTGCAAGTAAAAGTCACTTAAAAAAAAAAAAAAAAGGCTTATAGAGGCCTATAATCAGTCTGCCATCACCTCTCTGACCTCATCTACTACTACTCTCTTTTTTGCCAACCTCACTACAGTCATACTAACCCTTGGCTAGTATCTAAACATGTCAAGCACAATCCTGCCTTGGGACCTTTGTACCCGCTGCTCTCCTGCCTGGAATGCTCTTCCCCTGCTACACGCGTATCCTGCTCCCACATTTCCTTCTAACCTTTACTCATTTGTCAACTTCTCAGTGATGCCAGTTTAGTCTTTATGTCTTGGTCTCTTTCCACGCTTTTTTTTTTTTTTTCCTTAGCACTTACTACTATCTAACATACTATATAATTTACATATATATTATCATTTTCCTCTCACCAAAATGTAAGTTTCATGAGGACAAACATTTAATTTTCTGTTTGATTCCCTACTGTATGTACAATACTGTGTCTAGATATCTACATTTGTCCATACTTAGGACAGAGCCTGGTACTTAGTAGATACTCAGTAAACATATGATGAGCAAATAACTGGCATCCCCAACTACAGCCTCTCCAATCAATTTTCATCTGGTCTCCAGAATACCTAATTAAGGGTTAAAACTCACCTGAATTTTCAGCGTAAACTCTTTTAATGGTTCTGCAGTGCTACAGCTGATACAAACTAAGATGTCTTCAATAGGCAGGCATGTCCCAAAAATGTGATAAGCAAAGTGTACATGTATGGGGTGAGGACGAGGAGGCAGATATTAGAAATGGACAGCATGTGACCCACTTAAGGGCATTCAATCAATTATTTTTAAAAATTGTGCCTGTTAATTGGCAGCCCCTGTACACAGAATAAACAACCATCTCTACAGCATGGTTTGGTGAGCACTAGGCAGGCCTGCCATGCTTATTCCCTCTTGGGCCCTATAACTTCAGAGAAAACAGACTGTGCACATCCACAGACTGGGTAGTTACAATGCAGCTGAACACATTGCTTTCTTCATTATTAAATAACCAGGCAAGGAAGCAAGATGTCACTGTTGGCATAGTCAGGAATTATATCTGGAGTCCAGATGTTTGAACCAGATGACTAAACTTGCTAAAGGCAGTCTTTACAACCATTCAAGGTAATTACAGATGGGTTTCGGATGACATGTTGGAGATCTAAAATGGGTAAACTTCCATTCATTGATTCCAATCTGTGAGGACCTTATCTTGGACAGAAAGAACATCTTTGCCAGTAACCTGAGTATATTTTCCATGAGGAACCAGGAAGACTTGAGAAGTTGCATTTACGGAACTGAAATCTCCTGGTGTGCTTTGCTGAGAATGGATGCTTTGAGCTTATCATATAAACTGTACTTCTTTCAAGATTTCTGTATCAGAGCGCTCCAGTCAGCCCTCAGTGGGATTTTGGCAATGGCATACAGGGGCTTTCGTGATCTGATTTGACCATTGTTTACTAGAGCAGATCCATCTCTCAACATTCGCAAAACACACTCAACTTACTGTTACCCAGAATTCATCCTCTTCTGTGTTAGGACCTTTGTAAATTCCTAGAATGCTCTTCCCACCAACAAATTCCAGGCAAACTCTTCTGCCCAAGAATAGCCTTCTGTTGGAAGCCTCTGCAGATCCGCTCAAGTCAGCTTATTACTTCTCTACTCTTTTTTCTGTACTGTATCCAGTAGATATCTCCCTTCTTGATTTTATTAATTGCCATTATTGTTTTATGTCAATTCCATAGGGGCAGTAAGCATGTCTAATGTATCTTTGAATGACAGATGCCCAACCTTGTACATAGCACTTAAGGGGCCCTCAATAAATGTTTTTGGAATTTAACTTAATTATAACTAGAAAAGATTGATCCGTTCAATGTGGTTAAGTAACAGCTACATAAGGGTAGGGTGGGGTGGTTTGGAGTGGGAAAGAAAACACAAAGAAAAAGAGATTCAAATTATAACAACTTTTCTCATATTTCATATTAATGAATGCAGCATTTTGCATTGGAAAAGAATGTTACCACTAATCCCTATTTATTGAAGCATCCCTGAAATTTCAAAAGACACTTAAATATAATGGGTTGATTATAGATAGACAATCTGAGCTCATTCACTATACAATACTCCTTCTGTGAGCTAATTTGACAGAATATTTACATTCTAATTAATGGAAACTGGTAGAAAAAACCTTAAGATTCTCAAAAAATAAACTGGCACATGATAGAGAATGTGGTAGAGAACACAAAAAATCACATAAGAGTAAATATAAGGTTCAAAACAAAAAATATTCAGTCCTACCAACAACAACAACAACAAAAAAACACACAAATCGAAACAACTAGGCAGCTATTTAAACCATGTTAAACTAGCAACTTTTTGTTCACATTATACACCTAATTCACTAGCAGATTTACTGTTGACATGTAGCAGGACTAACTAACATAGATCTACCGAAAGCAATTAGGGCTCACTGTTTATAATTTATCACGAAAAAATTTTCCCAAAAGGAAATAGGGAACTATAAATACAAGACATTATTCATACTAAAAAAAAAAAAATTACAAGCTAGAATAGCCTCAAAAGAATGGTTAAATAAAAAAGGCATAGCCATTCTTTGGAATATACATAGTCATCACAATAATAATAATAATTACATAATCATAAGTGTTAACAATGGGAAAATTATAATAATAGAAATAATGGCTAGTATTTATTGAGCATTTACTATGTGTATTACTATGAGCATATACCAGGTACTATGGTATTTCATATGCATTGTGAGTTAGGTACTAGTATAGCGTTGTCAGCATCACCAAATAAAATTATAGGATGCCCAGTTCAATTTGAATTTCAGATAAACAACAGATAATTGTTTTGTATAATTATGTGCCATGCATTATTACCCATTGTTTATCTGAAATTCAAATTGGACTGGCAGTCTATACTTTATCCGGATACTAGTAACCCAGATACTAGTAATACATTTTACTGGTGAGAAAATGAGGACACAGAGGTTAAATAACGTGTCCAGGAACACACAGCTAATAAGAGATAATAAAATGCTAAGTTTACAAAACAGTAAAAAATAAATTTAGCCTACAAATAATTACAAGTGGTAAAACATAAACATGTTTGTGGACTATAGCTGAAAGGAAACATGGGCAGGTGATACTACCAAAAACATCAATTTACTGATTCGTTATTTGAGCATTTACTCTGGGCACAGTGTTACAGCAATCTTCCACTCCCATTTTACAGATGAATAAAATGAAGAGTGAAATATTTTACTCAAGGTCACTAAGGTAGTAAGTGCAGTCAGATTCTAACTCCAAAGTCCTTGCTTATATCATTTTGTCATCTTGATGTCCTGGAAGATATTTTTTCTCTCAGGTGCAGTTCTATCAATGTTGATTTAAATTTTTTGTGTGATAAAATACATGTTCAAGGACATATGAAGATTTCAAAGAGATCTGCAGAGCCTAGTCCTCAGGATTTGATGTGGTCTAAAGCCCTTTCTAGAGCCCACCAAATGAAACATTTGAAAGAAAAAGAAGTTGTGATGCACATTTCTTGCTCCAAGATTGCAGTGAAAACTGAAAACTTCTCCACAAATGGTGATTTTATTCAACTTCATTCAGAAAATAGAAATACGTACTCCATACTTATCCGTTTAAAAGTGAGATTGCTCCCCCATTTATGCATCTCACTAAGCTCCTCCACTTTCTCTATACACTTTGGAGGGTGAACTTGTTAATTCCCTCGAATCAACCTGTTAGGAAGAGATTACGAATGTTTTTAAGCCAACTATATGGGAAATTGCACCACAAACATAAAAGTACCTCAATGCTTTTTCAGTGCAAGCAACATCTATGCTCTAAACATAATAGAAAATTTTAGGATGATTTCCTTTAGGTGTTGGTTTAATTTTTCCTTGAGAGTTTATCCCACATCAAAAAGTTTGTGTCTTTGATTGTTTATTGTGAAAGAGGCAGCTGGCCATAGGGCTGCCTGCAATGGCTTTACCACAATTTGCTTTTGTTTTCCCCTCTTGATAATTACCTCATGACTAAACCACTCACTGGTCCATGTAGAGGAGTACCGCAGAGATGAAAACACACTTGTTTAAATAAAATATTTATGAAGGAGCCCTAAAATGTCACTGAAGTAAATGCATATTAGATATTCACATATTGTGCATCCAATATGCCACTCATTCCTTAGAAGACTCTTTTTCCTGACTGCAATTAACATTAACTTTAAAAAATTAATCCCATTGTGCATAATCACACCAAGGTCTATTCATAAACATCCAGTGTTTCAAGATTGATTCTCTTTTGACTATCTTAGAAAAATTTGAATCAAGGCTAATATTTAATCTTGATGAATATTTTGGAGGTTTTTTCATAGAAACTATATTTAATTATTATTTTACATGTACATTTTCTAATAAGTGACTTGACTATAATTTAACATAAGGTGACATTCGTGAAGGTTCTATATTCTGACCTTTTAATGACACTCTATTTAGACAAGATTTTTCTTGATTGGTTTGTTTTTTCCCCTCTCAGATTGGATGGACATAATAGAGCCTTATGACATGTTCAACGAGCCCTCAAAATAAAAATTTGGGATAATGTTGTGAAAAGAAATTTAAGAATCAGTTGATATGGGTGCTAGCTGTACAGGGTAACAGTGAAGGTTCCTGGTATTTGATACTATCTTTCCTAACTTTGCAAGAAACAAATGTGAACTGAGCTGAGAAGGGTTAGGTGGATGCATTCTTTGCCCAATGGTCTCAAAGGTTGTTCTCTACTTGGCTGCACATGAGAATCAATAGATGAATTTTAAAAATACTGATACCAGGCCCATTTCCCAGAGACTGTGATTTAAAACTGATCTAGGGTGCAGCCCAATCATTGGTAGTTTTTTTTGTTGTTGTTTGTTTTTTCTGTTTGTTTGTTCCAGCTCCCTAAGTATTCCTAATGTACAGCCAAAGTTGAAAACCAGTGATCTAGAAAAAGCTTTTCTTGAATAGAGTAATATTTACATGGAGAGAAGAGTCGCTAATCACGAGTCTTAAGGCTCTGCTTCACACTCTGACCTGCTGAACCTTTTCTAGAGCTTGGGTACAAACACAGAGAACATGCACAAAAAATCTCCAGAATATGGAGTTGGAACATGAATGGAAAACCAGTATCCTGGATAACAGAATTCATAATCAAAAATACTAAGCTGAATCTTTATAACTACATAGAATGTGACCTACACTTGGGGATTAAATCCATCATACAAGTACAGAAGAGAGAAAGTAGGTCTAAGGGTGGCTCCTATGAAAGATACCTAGAAAATGTTCATTGACAATAACTCCTCAGTTTTCAGTATATGTGATGTGAGTACTTAAGAAGCTACTTTAACTTAGACCCAATTCTTCTTTTAAATGGACTCCATGGCCCTGGGCTAGTTTACTTCTCCGCACTTCAGTTTACTCATATATATCAATCACCTTTAGCCGTGGTTCTTGAACTTTAATGTGTCTACAACTCTCACCTGAAGATCCTGTTAATATACAGATTCATATTCAGTGGGTCTGGGACATAACTGAGATTCTCCGATTCTAACAAGCTCCCAGAAGCTGCTACTGCTGCTGGAACACAGATGAGTGCTTAGAAGACTTATGAGGACTAGTGAAATGACCTACATAAAGTGCTTGGCACAAATGTGGTTGGCACCCTACAGAAGAAAAGACTTAAAAAGAAAATGATAAAAACATGTTTAAGACCTAGACATTACATGATCCAATCCTCCTTTCTGTTCCTTGAAAAGAGTGGATCTAGAGAAGTTAGGCTAGGTTACCTCCTAGTAGCTAAAGGTGTATGATGGAGAAGAGGGATAAGACTAATGCTTTTTGACCAAAAAAAGTATAATCAAGATCCATGGGTAGAAATTTAAGATACCTTTTAATTCCCTACAAGGAAAACCTTCTAACAATACATGCTGTTCTACAACCAATTAATCTTCTTGACAGCGAAGTCTCCAGTTATAAAATACAAGCATAGAGCAATTGACATTAAAGAGGATAGTCATACCTCAGGTCACTTAACTGTAAAACAGCCTGGCTATCTAAAGAGGCATCACACACTTAATGTGTTACAAAAAGTTAAAATAAAATAAAAAATAAACCTCATGATTTCCCTCCTCACCCCTACCTTCTTCCTGAAGACTTCTACTTGTACATGGAATTTTTAGGTCAAAAACCCTTTGAAGCTTCCTTAGTTGCCCTTCTCTCACCTTTCACATCTCTTCCTTCAATAAATACTTGTGGCTGTACCTGCAAATTGTGTTCATAATTCAATTACTTCTCATCAACTCCATTGCCACTATCGCTGTTGAAGTCACTGTCACCTCTGTCTGGATTTCTGAAATAACTTCCTAAGAGGTTTCTCTGACTTCACCTTTGCTCTTCAACATAGCAGTCAAAGTGTTGTCACTTCTCCCCTCAGTACCTTCTAATGGCTTCGTATCTCATTCAGAGTAAAAACCAAAGTCTTTATAATGGTTTACAAGACTCTGCATGATCCACCCTCTCTAACTCTTGACCATATGTCTTACCACTCTCCATGTCTTTCACGCCTCTCCAGCCACCTCTGAAATCACCATTTCTAGAATCATATCAATAATGCTCCCACCTCAGGGCGTTTGCACTTGCTCTTCCCTCTGCCTTAAAGGCTAGTCTCTGAGGCCTGCAAGTTTATGTCCCACATCAGTAACATATAAAACACTATAAAAGCAACCAACAGCACATTCTAATTGCTTTCTATGGACGAAAGGGCTCACACTCAGCACTTTACTTTCCACAAGTTGGTACAGATGACAGACTGTGTGAGGCACTTCAGTTCCAATTGTAACTTAGGCTTATTTTTTAAAATTACAATTGCATCAAGTCCTCTGTGAACACCAAGTCAGGGAAATCTGGGTGCTGTACTCCCCCAACAGGGCACTATAACTACCTGGACAAAAAATAACCTTTCTGATGGCTCAGGCCCACTGGTCTGTGCCCTAGTCTTTCCACACCTCTGAAAAAATGAGTAAATTTCCTAGATGCAGGGTCACTTTGCTCTCCACAGGAAATTATATCTTTTTTCTCCTTTTATAACCAAAGTCCTTAGTTGAGCTTGAGGAAACCTAGCTATCACTGGGTGGCTGTGAATGGACAATAACAGAGAAAGCTAGGACATGGCCTTCAGGTGGATTCCTTTACAGAAAAAGAAATCATCCATTTACAGAGATGACTCTCTCTAGAAACCCATGTCTCAGGGCTGCTGTGCATGGTTGTTCTGGTTCACACTATCATAGCAGGGACATTATGCACATGGTGTTGTGTGGTGCAGCTTTTCTAGCTACTCAGCTTTTAGGGTTCAGAGATTAAAGTCACTCTTGCTTCAGAGGGATGAAGACAAATGCATCTGATGTAAGAATTAATGTCGACAAGGCAAGGAAGGAGGGAAATGAAGGGAGATTTGGAAATGAAGGGAAAAGCGTCCTGAAGGAGAGGGTGCACTTAGGATGTAATCTTTGGCCTCGTTTCCTTTCACCTCGCACTTGAACCCCCCACCCCCACCCCTTCCCTCATGAGCTGGCTACTTTCCAACACAAACCAAAGAGCCAGAGGGGCATGGGGCTACTTCAAAACCCTGTGTCCTAGTTTAAGAAAGGAGAGCACTAATATCAGGAACTCAGAGCAGCAAGGTCGACTCCTATCTATAGCTATTACTCAGCCAAGGAATCAGATTTACTCTTGTAAGAAGTCCTCTTAGTGAATCTTTCTCAGGGATTGCCTGGTGTAGGGGCTGAAGAGAACCTGAAAACACAGGATCCAGCCCCTGGATTAAAAGGAGCAGAGACAGAAAACTGGCCAAAAATATGTGATTCAAAGATAGGCCTCATCCATCTTCTCTTGTAAAGCCAAAGACAACTGCATATGTGGGATAACAAGGAAAACTCGTGGTCTGGTCATAGGCAAGGAAGTGAGATGTTTCAATACTAACACTTGCTTTGGGCAAAGCATGTAAAATAATTGTCTTGCTTCTGCTGCTTAAGGACGAACTTCCCCAACTTAGGACATCTTCGATTAACTTAGTTAATATAACCATTGGCAATGGAAAACAGTATTTTTTCTTTTTCAATAGAAAAAAAGCCTCCGGTAGGGAAAATCTGATATAAACTTTTAAATTTTAGCAGATGACTTCACCCCACACACCCATCTTGAATATATCAAGGAGATACTATTTAAGTCTGGCTCAGTGTTGACACTCGTTATAAATCAAATAATTCTTTAATTTATCTTTTGGATAAATGGATTTTTATATAATAAATTGGTTTCAGCTCGTCCATGATACTTTGCAAGGCAATAGCTCATTTCCAATATTTATACTTAGCAATATCAAGAGAAAGGCCATTTTCTCATCCCATTTTTAACAATCTAACCACACTATGCTTTTCTGGTAAGTACTTAGGTTGGGAGAATATTCGAGAAAACTCTTTCTCCAGGTGAGAAACATCTCAAGCAAATATTGGAAGGAATGCATTTTCCACTAGCTAGTAGTGGATGAGACGACCTGGGAGACACAGGGACCTCGGGAAAAGCAAATGGCTCCGCTAAAACTCCCTCCTCCAACCTTAATTGGTCAAATGCCAAAATAAATGAACTTTCCAAAGTTAAGAGCTTTGCAACTTTCACTAGGAATAACTACAGGTGCACAAGCCAGGACCGACGAGCCTACTGACCCCAGTGTGGCCGGCGGTAGTCGCTGGTCGAGCCCAGCGCCCAGGCCCAGGCCACCTCCACGCCGTGCGACCTGCCGGGAATGGGTTCAGGCCCGTCTGCCCAAGACGAAAAGCTCCCTGTCCCCGGCCCAACGCCGGATCGCGTCCCGCCCTTCTCACCCCAGACCAAGGAAAGGAACTAGACGCTCAGGAGAAACGATGAGCAGCACCCAGTGGAATTTGGCCCCAGCCCGAGGCCGTCCCCAACTCCCAACTTCCCAGAGTTTCCTTCGGCCTCGTCCCCCTTCCCACGCCTCCGAGGCCGCCTTGGCCTCACCTCGCTCTGAATGCAGATAGCCCAGGAAGTGGAGAGCGTAGCTCGGAGCTAGGGAGCCGCCCCCAGGAGCCCTGGCGATGGGAGCGCAGGTGGCGGGCGTGGTCCCTCCAACCCTGCCCCAGCCGATCCGGACTCGGCCTCCGTGCAGTAGCCACCGCCCGAGTCCCCGCCTGGCTACAGCATCAGGCCACAGTGCGATGGTTCTTGATCCCTCTCCTGGCTCGGTGGCCGCCCCCCGCCCTCTCCCAGTCCGCGTCGCTCTTCTGCCTCAGGCCCCGGTGCGGCCCCAAGTCCCAGCCCAAGGCCCTTGGGTCCCTCCAGGCGGCGGTGGCGGCACTCACCTGGGTCGCGGAGCCGGGGTCTGGCACGGTCCCGCAGGTGGTAGATGAAATCCTGGCAGCTGTCGTGCTCCAGGGCCCCACGGGCACAGAGCTCGGCCAGCAGCTGCAGCGCCTGGTGACAGAGCGCGTCCCTGGCCCCGGGCATCGCCCCCCCGCATCCTCGGACCGCGCCGGGCAGGCGGGCGCAGGAGACAGCCCTCCGCCTGCCAGCTCAGAGCCGCCGCTTCCGGGCCGTCCGCGCTCACCGCCAGGGACCCGCCGGGAAACGGTCCGAGCCCGATCCCAAGCCTCAGACCCAGCCGGCCCGGCCTCCCACCGGTTGCATGCAGCTCTTCGCCAGCCGGTCGGTCAGGTTTTCTCTGTCTCCCGCCGGGTCCCTCTGTCCCTCCCCCAACACCGAGGAGAGGCGGCGCCGCACAGCCCAGAGCGCCTCTCTGCTTGCGCTCCGCCCGCTACTCGCGGCCACCGCGGGGCGGGGCCGGGTCAGGAGTGCGCGCCGCAGGGTAGACTCGCGGCGGCCCCAGACGGGGACCTAGGGTACGCCCCGGCTCCTGGCCAAGCGGGAGACTTGGTTTGGGACCTCGCGCCCAGAGCGGCCGCGCCCTGGCTTGGGGAGTGTGAGCGTGTGCGCGCTCCGGGCGCTGGAGCTACTCCACCCCTCAGCCCTGATGCAAACCAAGAACCCGTTTCCACCACCCTGCGTGTGTCCGAAGCACGTTCTTGGATGCCTGGTGCGAAGATTGCAATCTGGGCACACCCGCCAGATGCGCAGAACTGAGTCCCTGTTTGGAACTTGGAAAGAGCTGCCTGGGTTTGAACCATGGGCCTATGGGTGTCAGATGCCCAAATGCAGGGTTTGGGTCCAAGATTCGCCAACAAAGGAAGGATTTCCCAAACACAGGCCCTTTTCGACCACCGTGGTGATTTGGAGAAGGTGGAGGCTCTAGGTCAGAACTAAGATCAAATAAATAAACGACTCCCGGGAAAGACTCTGAGGCTTACCTGGGCGTCTTAGGTCTCGGTTAGTTTTCTAAGCAACCGTTTGGAAATCCAAACATTGCCAACGTGACTTCAGCACCCAAGGAGGAGTATCACAGAATCTTGGAGAGTTGGAAGGAACCTCAGGGCACCTTTCATCCACCCATCTTTTCAGCTTTTCAAGCAATAAAGCCTAGAAATAATCACGAAGTACTGTGTGTGTGTGTGCGTATCGCTGTGCCACAAGCCTTTTAGGTGCATAATCTCATTTAATTCTGTACATAGTTCAACGAGGTCTGTGTAACTGTTATCCTCATTTTACCAATGAAAAACTGGGGGCGGGGGACTCACAAAGGTGTTACTTGCTCAAATTCACACATGATGAAGGTAGTTTTGATCTTCTTTCTTTCTCTTTTTTTCTTTCTTTCTTTTTCTTTCTTTCTACTTTTTTCCTTCTTTTTCTTTTGTCTTTTTTATAATACTGGTGTTCAGGCCCCCACTCTAGAACAATTACAGTAGGATCTCTAGAACTGGTAACTATCATTCTTAGCCATGAGGTTGTGCTGTCTCTACGGGCATTTCACAATTCATATTGCACAGAAAGGTAATTTGGGACCCCATAGAATGCTCACGCAACAGGCAAGCTTTGAAATCCTGCTGTCAATGGTACTAGGGCTTCAGGGAACTTATATGGGAATAGCAGAGAAAATGCAAAGCTGTAAAGGTAAAGATGCCTCCAGAGAGTTGCAAAGAGACAAGCTGAGGAAGGAGAAACCAGCTTTCAGGGAGCCTGTAGGGGAGGTTGAGCAGATGCTGTTTCTTCAAACGGGGAACCCCTAGAGAAGGAGAAACCCTGCATTTGGGCATCTGACACCCATAGGCCCATGGTTCAAACCCAGGCAGCTCTTTTCAAGTTCCAAGCGGGGACTCAGTTCTGCTCATCTGGCGGGTGTGCCCATGAACAGAGAAGGTGACACCAGAGATAGTGTGATGCTGGGGGTGGGGGTGGGGGAGCCGTATAGTAATGGTGAGAAGGTATGTGTGTTGAAGCACGTAAAAATATTACACTAATGCCATATGTCAGTGAGGAACTGAAAGCAACAAGTTCAGTTAAAAAATGACTTTCATAAACCAAGCAAGAAATGATGAAGGCTTAAACCAGGCCAAAGGCATTAGTTGATTGCTAGAAACATCCAAATTTGAAAAACATTTCAAGTATTAAGTGACAAGATTGTAACCAATGGAATAAGAAAGAAGCAAAATGCACAAATGTTTCAAAACGTTACATGGGTCATATATATTCACACCCTAATAACACTTAGAAATGCAAGCCTAGAGTTTAGGAGAGAGGGAAGACTGGCATTCATCATTGGAAAGGTAGAAATTGAGTTGCCACATGGGATGGTTCCTTCAAGAAAGAAGAGTTGAAGAAATAAAAGAGCAGTTTGGAAGGTAGCAATCACAGAAGGAGGAAAGATTGTACAGAGGGGAGTCATAGTGGTCATGGGAGGAGGAGTGTTTGGTAGAGGAGTGATCAACAACATCAACTGTAAACTCTCAAATATAGTTTAAGGAGAAAAAACTAAAAAGTGTCCTTTGGATAAAGCAGATAGTAAGACATTCAAGATTTAGACAGACTAGTTACAATGCAACCAACCTTGTACAAGTTAACATTTTTGTGCCTAGGGTTTCTCATCTTATTTCAAAGATAATGTGTATCTTTGGACTGTTGCAAAGATTACATAAAGCAATATGTTTAAAGTGCTTATAATAGTGCTGCCACATAGTATGGGCACAACCCATATGTGTTTTTGTTGTTTCTGTTATGTTTCTACTACAATGTACTAGGTGCTAAACACACTGTCTTAATCTATTACTTACAACATCCCAAAGTGGCTGATAGTATTATTTCCTATTTTACAGGCAAAGAAAGTAAAATCAGGTGGTTAAACAATGTGTTCAAGGACAAATTGACAGACTGTTTCCAAAGACAGCTACAGCCATCCCTCCCATTCCATGTGTCCTTTTGGAGTGTGTGAGTTAACTACTCTTCCCATCAACAAGTCAAGTCTATTCCCCTTCTCCTTGAATTTGGGCCTGCCTTGTGACTCACTTTATTCAACAGAATGTATGTAAGTGAAATTCTGAGCTGAGTCTAGACTTGAAAAGATCTTGCAACTTTTAAAGGATATCTTGCTGGAGAGGGGTCCAGAAGAATGAGGAAAAAATGTGGGAAAGGACATACTGCTATAGAATGAACTGTGTCCCCCGAAAATTCTGCTGTTGAAGCCCTAATTCCTGATGTCACTGTATTTGGAGATTGGACTTAATTAAGAATAAACTAGGTCTAAAGGTAGAGTCCTGATCCAATAGGGTTAGTTTCTTTATAAGAATCATCAAACCAGTTGGCTATAAGTATTTGGGTTTATTTCTGGGTTCTCTATTGTGTTCCGTTGGTCTGTAAACCTATTTTCATACCAGTACCATGCTGTTTTGGTAACTATGGTCTTATAGTATAGTTTGAAATCAGGTAATGTGATGCCTCCTGATTTGTTATTTTTGCTTAGTCTTGCTTTGGCTATGTGGGCTCTTTTTTTGGTTCCATATGAATTTTAGAATTGTTTTTTTGTAATTTTATGAAGAATGATGGTGGTATTTTGATGGGAATTGTGCTGAATTTGTAGATTGCTTTTGGTAGTATGGTCATTTACACAATATTAATTCTACCAATCCATGAGCATGGGACATGTTTCCATTTGTTTGTGTCATCTCTGATCTCTTTCAGCAGTGTTTTGTAGTTTTCCTTGTAGAGGTCTTTCACCTCGTTGTTTAGGTATATTCCTAAGTATTTTATTTGGAAAGGATGCCCTATTCAACAAATGGTGCTGCAATAATTGACTAGCCACATGTAGGAGAATGAAACTGGATCCTCATCTCTCACCTTATACAAAAATCAACTTAAGATGGATGAAGGACTTAAATCTAAGACCTGAAACTATAAAAAATGCTAGAAGATAACATTATTAAAACTCTTCTAGACATTGGCTTAGGCAAGGATTTCATGACCAAGAACCCAAAAACAAATGCAATAAAAACAAAGATAGATAAATTTCTGGGACTTAATTAAACTAAAGAGCTTTTGCATGGCAAAAAGAACAGTCAGCAGAGTAAACAGACAACTCACAGAGTGGGAGAAAAATCTTCACAATCTATACATCTGACAAAGGACTAATATCCAGAATCTACAATGAACTGAAACAAATCAACCAGAAAAAAAAACAAACAATCCCATCAAAAAGTGGGCTAAGGACATGAATAGACAATTCTCAAAAGAAGATATACAAATGGCCCACAAACATATGAAAAAAATGCTCAACATACTTATGATCAGAGAAATGCAAATCAAAAGCACAATGCAATGCCACCTTACTCCTGCAAGAATAACCATAATCAAAATCAAAACATAGTAGATGTTGGCTTGGATGCAATGAACAGGGAACACTTCTACATTGCTAATGGGAATGTATCAACTCACTAGTACAACCACTATGGAAAACAGTGTGGAGATTCCTTAAATAACTAAAAGTAGAACTACCATTTGATGCAGCAGTCCCACTGCTGGGTATCTACCCAGAGGAAAAGAGGTCACTATACGAAAAAGATACTTGCATATGTATGTATATAGCAGCAGAATTCACAATTGCAAAAACGTGGAATAAATCCAAATGCCATCAATCAACGAATGGATAAAGAAACTGTGGTGTGTGTGTATATATATGTATATTATATGTCATATATATGTATATGTATATTATATGTCATATATATATATGATGGAATACTACTCACCTATAAAAAGGAATGAATTAATGGCATTCATAGTGATCTGGATGAGACTGGAGGCTATTATCCTAAGTGGAGTAGCTCAGGAATGGAAAACCAAACATCATATATTCTCACTCACAAGCGGAGCTAAGCTGTGAGGATGCAAAGGCATAAGAATGACA